GGATTTTCCAATGTGTTTATGACACTGCCTTAGTGAAAATAAACTGTTTGCTTTTTTAGATTCTGTCAAAACTTATTATTTCTCTATTTTCATGCCTTTTGCTCTGCTCATAAATTACCTCTTAAATTACCTGTTTAATTCTTGCATGCATAGGTTTAACCTATTTTAATGATTTTCTAAAATCTATATGATATTTTGCATGCTCTGTAGCATTTTAAAAACTAGACAATTATTTTCAGTTATTTATTATTCATCAGTATCATCTTGCTTTCAAATGCCTTACATAGAACCATGTAAATATATGTATATGAATAAACACACGTATGTGTGTATATGGATATAATATTTTATTGGCTTTAATTGGTTTTATAAGTTCAAATTAATAGAATTTACCTTTATAAAGTCAACCAATGAAAAAACAGATGAAGGCTATCTTTGAAATTTATGGTTATGACAGATATGGTCTGATACTGGTTTTGATTTATTAGTACTTTTCTTTTTATGAAATAGCATCCAGAAATTACTGGTATATATATGTGTGTGCAGTTTTGAATTATAGATTTTCATTATTCGTTTTGAAAATTCAGAAAAATTTGCCAAAAAATAAGCATGGCAAAAAATAATTAGCCTAACAAAAGCATAGAAATAAATGAGAAAGAGATGTGAAATTATTAGGGGACTTCATTGTATTAAAATTTACTATATAACATGTTTGAGTTCATTTTTAAAAAAGGTTATTTTAGAACAGATTTAGGTTTCCAGAAGGTTTCAGATATAGTTCAGAGTTCCCCTACACTCCAATTTCAACTTCACCTATTATCATATTAACATGTTACATTGATATGGTACATTTGTTATACTTGGTGAACTAATATTGATACGTCCCTATTAACTGAAGTCCATACTTTGTTCAGATTTCCTTAGATTTTTATCTTCTGTTTTGTTTTAATTACAAAGGAGATAAACTAGATGAATTAAGCAGAATATCAAAATACCTCCCTGGATCCTCTGGTTTCTGGAGAAAACAGCAAAAACTGGTGACCATTGTTTTATTCTCATCAGTCCATGGTCTGTCACCTAAGCCACCCTCTCTTTTTCAAATTATATTTCTCAAGAAAAGATTACTTTAAAATAATTTCCCCAAGTAAATTGCACCATTTACTGCCCCAGGCCCACATTGGCTCTCTGCTGGGATGGTCATTATTTTCCCCTGTCCAAAGAGTGAATTTTGATGAATCTTCTAAAACCCAGGATAGCAGCCATTGTTCTGTGGTTCCATTCCTAAAGCTGATAAAAATCGTTCTACAGTAATTTCAATATCAGCTGTTTTTTCAAACTGAAACCTCTGATTTCCAAGGTATTTTGTTTGATTTTCACTTCATTTCTCATTTGACTAAATTTAATACAGTTTCCATTTTCTTTTTACAGACATGACATAAAGTATTTGAGAAAATTATACATTTAACCAAATGGAAAATTTATAAAATTTGATAGAGCAAGGTCTTTGGCGTGCCTGGATGTGTAGGATATTTCTCTTAAACAGATATATATATATATATATATCTGTATATATATATATATATACACGTATATATATACATACATGTATATAGAGAGAGAT